ATAAGGGAAGATCACATGACCAAATGGGGCGTTCGGGATGGCCTCGTGAGTTATTCGAAAATTTAAATGCAAACGATCGGATTCTTTTCGGGGTGCTTATTGATTGCTTCCTTTCTTCCTGTCTTTTCTTTTTCTTTTTTGGTGGGGGTGGGGTAGGGGGGGTAGTGGTGTGGGAGGAGCCAACTTTAGGATTAGACTTGAAGAGCCATATATTCCTAATGTTATCCAGAAGTTAGACTTCTTTAAAATAACCGGCCATAACTGTTTTTTTGTCCTAGTCTCCATTAACTTCGTTCTCGATTTGGCACTGTTTACACTGGCCAAATTGAAAATTGCGTAGGACGCAGTTTTTTTTTTTAAAGGCCGGCTGAACTCCATTTTATTAACCAGCTCTAGAGTTATTTGCTTTGTCAAAAGTTAGAAATGAAAAATGAAAAAAACTAAGTGTGAAAAATTTATAAGCGGAAAAAAGCCACGGGAAAAAAAACAACATCACAAGAAACTGCTCTTGAGATGCTGCTGTTTCAGTGACCGCAAAGGCAAACCACGGTTATTTGCGTTCAGTGCGTCACTGGCATCACTGAAAAGACCGTGCTAGAAATCACATGAACATTTTTTTGTTGGCGCTTTTATCTTCACCCTTTGTGCGCCTTTGTGAGTTTTGTCTGTGATGTTCAGTAGCTGATGTCACTTTTAATGTGGAGCATTTTGGTAAGATCAAATTACGAGAAGTTTATGTTATGTATAAAGTAAATTAATGTTCTTTCAAACGTTATAGTGGTTATTCTAACTCGCTGTACAGTTTGTCGGATATAGACACCTTTTTCTGGACTTGAACTCTAAGGCCGGGACCGTATCCAAGTTCACTGAGAAAGAGATAGAAAAGTTCGTCGTCTTGTGGCTTCGTCGTCCATAAGACGTTGAATTAAGCCTGGTTTCCGTATGATCTGTAATTGTCTACGGTGGTCTGAACAGGTCTGCGTCGACATCTCAAAGAAATATGAAAACATTTTGGTTACAACGTTGGCGATGGTCTGTGGCGCACGGTGTGGGCACGATCATCGAAAGAGTTGAATCTGGTTCTACTTTCCCGACCTTTGGGACACTGCGCCATCATCTGTAACTTGTCGACGACACACTTGTTTTAAAAAACTTGCGTTTTTTATATCTTCTAGTCAAACTTGAAGTAAATCAATGCTGGGCGTTATTCTCGCACCAAAATCAAGTCAAACAAACGTGGTTTGTCTGCAAGCGATCGCTAAAGTGAATGAAAATATATTTTTTTGGTGTTGGATCTTCTGTAATACGCCCTTTGAAGAAAGCTTCCGATCTTGCCGTAGACCGTTACAGATAAGATGAAACCTGGCTTTGAAAATTTTTTTTGTAGTACAGTCTTGTAGGTGCTGCTCTAAAATGTACCAAAAAGTGACTGTAGGTTACACGCGCAGAGCCCTTCTATTACTTTTAAGCGTTCTCGTTGCAAGGAGCTTAGCATCGACGGCGGCGACGGCGGCGACGGCGGCGACAGCGGCGAGAACATCACTTTAAAAATGAATTTACGTTTTTTCACACTTTGTCGCGTTTATTCCAGTTCGCTCTAAATGTCAAATGGGGGACTGCCTTAAGTTTAGAAAGAGAAAGAGAAGGAGAAAGAAAAATTCGTCGTCGCTTGTTTACGTCCTCTATAAAACGTGAAATTAGGCATTTGCACGTCGTATAGTCGTGTCGTGATGTCAACGAAAAATACAAAAAAGTGTGATGCACGTGCAAAGTTGCTGTTTTGCTTCACTAACCTCTTACTTTTTTGACGTTCTCGCTGCCGTCGCCGTCGTCATTGCTAAAGCTCCCTATTTTTGGCAATGTTACCTATTATCAGCTTGACGTCTCTTACAACAAAACCACCAATTTGGGGAGTGAACCCAAACTTACTTCGTTTCACTGTCTTGTACAGTTGATTGATATAGTGTCAAGATGTTTATGTACAGTTACTTGGTGATGTTAGGGGAACTGTTGCCTTTTACTGACAGTCGGTCGGTGTTTTGTCTCATGCAAGGTATCCCCCCGTGTGAGGTAATCAGCGGGATTCCGGAATCTGGGAAGTTTTCGCTTGTGGAGTGTAACGGAATCCTGGGATTTGGAATTCGGAATTTAGCTCAAGGAATCCGTGGAAACCCGCTTACAACAATTAGAATCTGGAATCCAAGTTTTACTGAGAAGGGATCCTAAATCCACAGCATAGTATCCAGACTGTTTAGGTAATCCAAGAATGTTTCATTATTGATACCAAACCTTCCGCTAATCTTCTTTCAAACATTTCGGCTCTGAAATCCAAAATACTACACTCCAAAATCCAGTCTAATAAAACTGGAACGCTGAGCCGTGTCCCTTGTAGTCCACAGAATCCAGTACAAAAAATTTTCGCATCCCAGAATTGATTTTGAATGACCTTGCACGGGACAATGCATTGGTTCTTGTTACAAGAACATTTACCATAACTTAGGGCCTGTTTACATGGAGTGGGGGACCCCGGTCTAGTGGGGTTGGTTTCTTTTGTTTTCATGCTCTGGGGGATACAAAACAAAAGAAACCTACCCCACTAGACCGGGGTCCCCCACTCCATGTAAACAGGGTCTTAATATTTGCACGTGCACTTTGGTTTGATTAAAGCCTTTTTAGTATTGTCTTGTGGGAGCGAGAGTTCTAATACAGGGTAGTGGTTTATTATAGATTATATGAAAAGTTCCTTGTTATATTCACTCAATGAACAAGTATTGAGCAAAAGAAATTTTTTAATATGTTTTCTTTCCTGTTTTTGATCCCTTCTATGTCTTCTATCCTCAAGCCAGATACCGTAAAATTCCGAAAATAAGCCCCTCCATGTATAAGCCCCCCAAACCGGTAACGCAAAAATCGTCCGTTAAATCGCCCCTCCAAATGTAAGCCCCCCGGTGGCTTGAACTTGGAAACTTTCCCTCAAATACAAAGTAAAACAAAGCAAAAACGATAAATTTACTTCCAACTATAAGGCTAGCCCAATCGATTTTGAAACGCAAATTTCCCTCCGTAGATAAGCCCCTCCGAATATAAACCCCTCAAAAAGGGCAATTAAAAAATGTAAGCTCTGGGGCTTATTTTCGGAATTTTACGGTATCCTAAATAATTAGCCCGTATAGATTTGTAATTGGGTTCAAAATGAAATGACTATTACAGTAAAAACCTGCGAGTAAGAACCTGGTTTTCAAGAACCTGTAGGCCCCCTATATACAAGAACATGTTCAGCCCAAATTTTGAAATTTTTGTAACTCTCTTCAGTTTTTCTAGAGACCTTCTACAGTAGCTACATCTTTTGGTGTCATTTATCCCTACGAAATTCCTTTAAAGTAGTATCCATATGTGGTCCAATTTTTGAGGGTGAAAAACCTGGCATACTGCGAATTCAACCGTCTCTCTGCGTTCCTTCCCGCATGGGAGATTTCACGAGAGAGACGTCTGTGCCTCAACGTCAGAAGTACACAGAAATGCCATACTGAAGACCATCAGAGCTCCTGACCAGATTCCGGAAAGCTTTTACGTCATCAGTATGGCATTTCTGTGGTTGAGTCCTGCGAAACGTCCCAAGCGGCGAGGAGGAGAGAAGGCTGTATTCGTAGGCTTCATTCTTTTCGTGCATTAAGGGTTAAACCAGACAGAGGGCCTGTTGTCATTTCGTGTTTACCGAAAGTTGATCACGTGATCAAATCATGCAATTCCAGTCTCTCTCTTTTTGTCCCGGAAGACAAAGAAACTGAGAAACTGGAAACGAGTTTGTCTTTTGTCCAACACGGCGTGGCTCATGGCGCACAGTTTTGAAAATGTTTACAACTTTATTCCGGTTTCGGAAAGTAAAGGCGGCGAGAAAAGGTTAGCAGAAGCTGTTTTCAAGTAAGAAAAAGAGAAATGCAAAGGAAGAATGTTTGGTTATTTGGAAAATGCCAAAACCGGAACGAATTTTCACATCAGAGTCCAGCACTACGATCAAGGTGAGTTCTGATTTAGTTCAGCTGTTCTCGTATGAAACAAATAGATTCCAATTTCATTTTACCATGTGTCCGCACCGTCATAAATCGTAGAATCGAAGTACTGTTCTAGCTATTCGCCCCTTTTTTCTTGCTGTTTCACTCAGACCTCTATTAAGTGAACCGAAATACACGCCAAAATGGAGCATGGAATATTGAATCTATTTGTTTACTCCGTATATTATTAGTGCCTCAGCTTGCATCAGCTAAAATAAAGTGTCAGTTATGTTATATCTATGAGGAAAAAAAGGTTTATAAATTTGTCGATGATCACAAAAACCCAGCATGCCAGGATAAAAATCTCACGCCTACATCTCAGAAAAAGTTGGCAGGTATATTATGAACCAGGCAGAAAACTGGAGCATGGTTGTGAATATTTTTATTGATCTCTTAAAATAAAGGGTGTCAAAGCAGTTGAATTTGTCATCCAGTTGTCTCACGCTGTCAGGGTGCAATTTTCTATCGTTGCCAGGCAATCCAGCTACATCAGGGTCATTTTAGGGTTGCAAATCAAATGCTGTGGGGCACTATCATATTTTATTCATAATTAAGTGTGTTTCACTTTGGCTTTTTACCATCAAAACCTTACTTTTCCTGAAAATCTGTACCTTTGAATTCATGTTACACTGGGGCAAACCAAAAATGAATTGGTTCTTTCCCAGCTGATCAGTGTGACTGATTGATCAAATCAGAGACTGGTTTCAGCTCCATACATCCATCCGCTGTTGAACTCGAGAGTGATTTACAACCAAAATAATGCAAAATGGCTTTGAAATAATGCCTTTAAGCGAATTTTCCTCAAACGTGTCTTTGAATTCATATGAATAGAGCTCCACCAACTTCAATCAGCCTTTACGTCAGAGAAAAATGCTTTTAGTATAATCATTTTAGCACTACTGTTATTCAGTCACTGCGTGGTGTAGTGGTCAAGGATCAATCTTCAATTATAGCAGATTCGGAGGGTGTAAGTTCGAATCCTGATGAAGCCATACTTTTAAACTTTGTACATTTTTTTGTTTTTGGTTTTTTGATCATTTTTTTTCCTTTGGCTTGTCTTCCTTTATTCTCACTGCTGATCCTACAAAGCTTTACGAGGATTTTGCAATAACATATTTCTAGTCATAAAATATGACAAATCTAGGCGCTTAGCCTTACGTGACCAAGAAATGATTGGTCGTGTCTGCCTTTTATATCAATTGGTGAGCTAAAATCAATTTCAGTTTCAGCATTTCATTTTATAGTCCAGGAAATGAGTGGTGGCGGGGAGGGTCCGCACAGTGCCATTGATATTTTTTCAATAACAGAACGATTTCTCGCATGCTGATTAGTCGAGAACTATGGTCAATAAGAGTACAGACCATGGAAATGATGTGATGGTGGCTTCACACTTTGCAGTGAAACTATTCGCCCACGACTCATGGCTCCACTTGAGTTTTGAATATTTTGACATCATTTCTATGGTTAATAAGAGAAAGGAATAATTGTTGTCTGTTTGTTAAATGGTGCATAAAGGAGAGTGCTGCTGTGAAGACTAGGTCTTCAAACTGTTTAGTCTGGGCTGCGGTATTGAAATCAAAAGGTGTTGGTCTAGAATAGGGTATGAGATTAGGGTAGGGAGTTTTGATGTAGAATAGACTACAGCATTGATAGTCTGGTATTGTCCATGTTTTAACTTAGGTCTCAGTGGCACAGTGATTCCAAAAGTTTTTAGAATGCCCACCCTGGATTGATCACTATTGCTTAGATATAAGGCCTTATTTATTGGTCGGGTTGCTGAGCATTTTGTTATTGTGCATAAAATGCGATTCACATGAATTGTTATCAAAAGCTTCCTCTCTAGCTAGTGTGTCCTAGCTGGTGAGACTTACCTGGCAGAGTACTCTTACAGCTGTGCCACAGAATAGTGGTGGATTTTTCTATGCAGGTGCTCAGTCCTTCTATAGAGTATCCGCTTGCCTTTGTGTTTCCTTGATAGGATTCTTTTGAACTACACTAACTAAATTGCAGGAAAGACACCCTCGTTCCTAGGGTCCTCTCCTACTAGGCACCTCCCTCGCTTCAAGGGCTGGGTAGTAGAGAGCCGTCAGAACAAGGTTGGCAGAAACAACTGTACAGTAACTGGCTGCTGTTCAAAACTGAACTACTTGTTTCAGTGGAAACAAATCACCAGTAGAAAACAAACAACTAATTTGGTGTAGCCTATGTATCATTGGCAGTGCCCCCCCCCCCCCTCTCCACCACACCCCCTCAAACTGTGTGTGGTTGTGACTGAAACCGATTAAACCGAAATTTAGGTCTTATTTTCTTTTCCTTTTATTCTTCTAAATACGATCATGGTTAAATACCCCCCTCCCCATGCTATGTACTTGTATCATTGTATCTTAAAACTCAAACGTCTGATTCCCTCATGTCACCGTTTAGTAGTTTAGTTTCCCCATTTGCACCTATGCTAGTATGTTTAGCTTGGGATGAAGTTGTGCTTTTTGAGTCTAAGAACGAATGTTCCGTTGCGCTCTTGTCTCGTCGTCCCTTCCAGCTGTGCCTTCGAGCGCCGTCCCGAAATTTCCGGCGAAAATTGGCGGTAGATATCGTGTAAAGAATCGGATTTAATGCCGAATTTAACGGCAAAACGAAGACAGCTATCCAGGCGTAGACTGAAGGGCTGGCTTCCATTCCGAGCAGGGAAGCGATTCCGATTATAATGATCGGAATCCAGCATGAGAAATCAGTGAGAACAATGAACACCATTCTAGTGCCGATTGACGTCACTGCAGCTCCGGCTCCGCTCATTTCTCGAGTGTTTTGAATCTTAAAAAACATAACGAGGTATAAAACGAAGATGAGCATGAAAGATGCAAAGTTCAGACCTAAAAATAGAAACACCGAATACTCCCACCCGATTGGCTTATTTGCAGTCAGGTGAAGCGGGAGGCAGACACCAGAGCGCGCGTAAAATTCTTTGAAGTAATCGATGCCGGTCAGAGGTGCGCCAGCGAGCACAAACGCAATAAGCCACGTGATAATCAGCGCAATGTACGCTCCGCGCACGCGCAGTCCAAAGTGCCTGAGTGGATGCACAATGGTGACGTAGCGGTCTGTTGTCATGATGGTTAAAATAAACACGGACGCTTCACTGGAGATGGTCGACACAAAACCGCTAAACTGACATAACCGGCTCTGCTTCCAGCTATCGTTGTATATGAAGTACTTTCCGCGGTAGAATACGTCTACCGCAGCAATCAGTATCAAGTAGATGCCCATTAAGAAATCTGCTATGGCCAGATTCAGTAGCAACAATGCATGGACTTTGCTCTCGCTCTTGGTTTTCAATCGCCATATGACGACAAAGGCATTTCCCACCAATGCGATGCTTCCCAGAATCCAAATGGATAACCTCAAAGTGAGGTTAGCCATGAGGTCATTACAGGATGAAAACAGGTCCTTGGGCGCGGAGCAGTTTGGGCCGGACAGTTTCGCAATGCAACAGAATTCGAACTTGTCAGCTTCCCTAAAAGAGTAGAACAGTACGGGAGTTAGTGCTTCTATTCGAGAAGCTCAATTTCATCTAATTACAATAATTGTTATTTCGACAGAAACAGAAAGGAACAGTTTAAGTATGACATTTTGTTCTACAAGAGATAAGTGTAAAATGGCTAAAGGAGCAAAGTTTTCATGTTGCCCTTATTACATTCCAATTACAAAAGAGAAGAAATAATTACATGTAAAAATGAAGTAGTTAATTGGATGAGGTATTCCTCTGTTAACGTCGTTTTTCCTTTTGCACAAAGAACATCCCCAAAAAATATTGTCTTGTAGACTTCAACATTTTCATATAAACTAGGACGTCCAAAGACCACATGACACGTCACGTGACCATTGCATTACTTTAAGCAATCCAGTGAAAATGTTGTTTAACTGTTTGCCACATGCACACCAGGTCTTTGTGGAGGGGTAATAGTCTATAGCTAACGGTTCACACGTCCGACTTTGGATGTGTATGTCGTAGTTAAAGCCTTCCATCACGATTTTTCCTCGAGGAAGAAACTTTCCAATGTGCTCCACTTTGTGTCTGTCCACTAAGGTGTGGAAATGGTTACTGGCGACATACTTCTGAGTGAAACCCTACTGGAGTATTAGCAATACTCCTAGCCAGGAGCCCATAACCCCATAAAGAAAATAAATACTGAAGAACCACCATGCTTTTTGAACACAATCGGCCTCGCGTGTACGCTTCATCAGTATAATGAATAGAACGAGGAAAAGTGGAACGCGTGTCGGAGCTCCCATCAGAGCTCAATGAACTCCTAATCAATCCACTTCTTATCCACATGGTCGCTCCTTTCGTGGAGCAAAACAACCCTTCGTTTAGTTTGCAAGTGAATGTAGCCTGTTCACAGATCCTCTGTTTATAGTCGAAAGTGTTTTTTGGTTTACCAGTAGATGGGCCTATAATTGGGGGTTAATAAATGTGGGGAAGAGAAGCTTATAAGCGGCAGTTTACGGTTTACATGCGAAAACTCCCACCGGCGCGAGTTTCATACCTGGATGACTTTTTGATTTCGTGTCTCGTTTACATGATGACTGGGTCATTTCATATCTCGGTATTTAAAGGTACACTTCAAACTGATAAAATACAGGTGTAGTTCGAAATCGAAAACATTACGCATGCGCTACCCGTTCCAGTCTGCCGCCAAACCGATTTCACACTGAAATGGGTGGTCGTTTCTCGTTTACACTGTAATAATTACATGTTGCGAAATTTCATACCGGAGTGAAATTCTCGCCCCGGTACGACAACTGTGGTGAACTCACGCCAGGGTGACTGGCGCCGGCATGACATTTTGTGGTGGTATCATGTAAACAAATACAGAGCCATGAGGAGGTAACCAGATTGAACTCTCGCTGGCGTAAAAGTCGCCCCGGTGTCATGTAAACACCCGCTTAGTTTATACAGCTATTTCGTGGAAGGTTGTCGGAAAAAATATGCACGGGAAAATCCGGTAAAGTAATAAGGGGTATGATGATACACTATTCCTGACGACTGTAGCCGTCAAACCTACTTTTGTTGCTTTCCTTTAGCACACACAAACATATGTCCATGGCCTCTTGTGCCATTCCTTTAAATTTCTTTGAAGAACAGTGAACTCAAAACCACCCACAGTACCTTTCGGTATTGTCGCGTGCACCTTTTCCGACAACCTTTCTCGAAATAGCTGTACGCTAATACTCACAAATAAGAAAGTGGAACGCCGTCAAAGACGTCCAGCGGTAACTGATACAAGTCTCTGTTGTTACCAAGGTAACTAAAAAGGAAGAAAAAAGAAATCGTAAAAGATGTCTCTAAGAACACATCACAATTTTTTGGGATCTTTTGGGGATTTTTAGGGGACGGGGGGGAGGGGGGAGGGGGACTGTACAAAGGATAGGGAACATTTTTGCTTGAGATGTAACAGGAGCGTCTCAAATGCTGGCCATGATCTCCTGGTAGAACGTTGTTCTGAAAAGTGATCTCAAATACTAAAGTTGATCGGGCACGACTTTGTGGCTCTTAAATAAATATTGTTGGCGAATTGATGTTTCAATCTTCGCCCCATTAGTTCACATCATTACCGCGCATGCATTTATTTCGTGGAGGAGGAGTTCTCTAAAAATACTTCTGGGAATACTTAATGTGTTCCTTTGTTACAGCCGTAAGGCCAAACGTATACAACTCACAGAAATTTCAACGATTCCATTCCATCGAAAGCTCCTGGTGCGATTGAATTCAGCTCCATATTACTCAAATTCCTGTTGACAAAAATATAATTCATATTTTACTTTCTTATATTCGTTGGGCTAAAAAGTATACTATAGAAAATCTTAGAACATATCTGGCGCATTTTAGTTCACGAGTATAGGATTTCTTCAGTGGTTTTAAAGCTAGTAGAGTTTATAAGATTAATTAACACCTTTTAATTTGTTAAACGTATTTTTTGCTCGTGTAAATTGTAAAAAAAAAGTTCAATTTTTTCCTTGACAAGTCTTCATGTTAAAAAATAGCCTGCTACGTTTGAAAGAAGTAGCCAAGGAAACACGTGACAAATACGCTTGTGGGAATAACAACTTAGGAGATGAAAAAAGTAATGCTTTCTCCGCTGTCATCGAGAATATTTCTGCCTCCTTCTTCCTTCTCCCTTACCCAGCAAAAAAAAACAGCAACCTTTTTTTGGAAAATGGATAGCTTGTCGTCTACTTACAGCGTTCGCAGCTCTTGTAATCCGTTGAATGCATCTCTTTCAATCTTTTCAATCGGGTTTCCAAATAGATCACTAAGAAAAAGACGAACAGAATACAAGCGATAAAAAGCGCCCAGCCTGTTCGGTCCTCCTGGTAGAATGATGGAATTAAATGATAAGACAAAAAGATAGCTGTACAGACAACAGCTGTGAATGTACTTACAGTTCAGTAACTGACTGTAATCCTTGAAATGCTCCTGTCCTCAATACTCGCAACTTGTTTCGCCTTAGTATTCTTAGAAGAAAATGGCAATAAAACAACATGAAAGAATGTAGTTTTCCATATTCTCTAAGAAAATAGTGCACACTCGAGGACTATGAAAACTTAGTTTTACTCTGCTTGAGAATTAAGCGACCACTTAGCATTTTTCTATTGTCTTGGCATGATTTTGACATTCTTGTCCTAATAAATTTCCAATTTGACAATTCCAAAATGGCGGCCATTGAAAACAATAGTTAGTTTCACGTCACATAACGTCATTGCGTGGCACGAACTATAACCTTGTTCTCAGTGTTCTCAGTTAACAGCATGGAGCTATAGAGCCTTATTATACATGACGTCACGTCCGCCATATCGGTGTCCCAAAATAATGAAACGGCGACCATGTTGTTGTCCCAAACCAGTCCTGTGGGAACTGAACTCTTTTCTCTAGGTAAACGTTTTCTTTAGTCTCAAAAATTTAAATAGCAGCTGGCCACGTGAGTGGAAACGCTCTCTAATTTCTTGAAATCGACACTGAGCTCATTATTTATGGTTACGACAGCTGGTCATTCATACTTACAAGGTCTTCAATCGCCTGAGACCATTGAAGGAATAGGGTTCTATGCTGTGGATCTCATTTCCCTCCAAGTTACTGAAGAAAAATACCATATATGTTCAGTTAAACCATAAACTGCAGATACGCAACTTTGTTTCAGGTTGGCGCTGATAATTGATCGTACTTCTATGTTAACTTCGAGCTGGCATTTGTGGCGGTTATCTTGGTGCCTGTTCTGGATGACGTCACAGGTCTCTTTGCTGAGTTCACAATAGAATTTGCGCTTACTCCTCAAACTCATTAGTAACGGGACGCTGTTGGACCCATTTTTGTCCTTTTCTCTTAAAAGCATTCTAGAAGGTACATCAAACACTTAAGATATCAAATATAAACGAAATTCATGAAAAATATCCCGCTGTGGGTCGTATATTAAACTTTCTTGTCGGTGTTTGATGTGTGTTAAAACACTTCGTCTCGTGTTTGAATTAAGGAATTTTTTTTTGAAATCCAAGACTATATTTTCACTTGTTTTGCCACTTACATTTTTTCCAGATACTTGTATCTTGCAAAGCTGTACCTTTCAATATCTCTTAGTTTCTTTTCTTGTATATGCCTGTGATACAAGAAGCATGCAGACAAAAACAACAGTTAAATTTGTAGAGTCATGAGGATTCTCCTGAATTTACATGTCAATAACGCCAGAATTATAAGAGCTGACTCTCGATGTTGCTGAAAAAAACCTTTGATCTTGAAGAAAAAAATATAGACGTCAATTTATCTTTCTAAACTGTGAGGAAACAATGTCAGACTGATTTTTCCCAAATAACACTTTCAAGCTTTTGAAAATAAATTGCTATTATTGACGTATAGGACTTTTAGCCCGCTTTTTTTAATTCCTACCTGTTCTCAGTCAGACACTTCTAGAACAATTTTATGCACTTATATTAACGTCCATACTGATTATAGCAGTGGTTTTTAGATAGCGTTAATTGTTGTCGCGCGAACGGCGCCAAACTAAAGGAAAGGTAACGAACTGGCAGGAAGTGAATCGAAAGGGTTTGTTTCAATCCTTTCACATGTTTTAAATAAAAGTCGGAACAATCCAGCATCATTGACAAGATGTGATGGTTGCTCTGATCAGATTTGAATTCATCAGGCGTATTCTAGTATGAAGCAAGTGTTTAGCATGTGTTTTTACTATAACTATGGAGTAACTTTCAAGTTCGCTATCTTCTTACGGTGTGCTAGTATCACTTCGCTATCTTTCCAATCCCCCTACGGTATGATGGTATAACCTTGGGTAACTTAAAGTTCGTTATCTTTTCAATCCTCCCACGGTGTGCTAGTATTACTTATTTATCTTCCCAATCCCCCTCCCCTCTCCCCCGCACGGTGTTCTAGTATAACTATGGAGTAACTTACAAGTTCGTTATCTTGACAGGAAGATAGGTTGGTATCCTTGTGAGGTCGTTTCTCTTACAGTTCGCCAAGAACTTGACCTCAGAAGGTGTTTTACCTCCAAGCGACGCTTCCCAACCGCCTTTAACACAGTGACTGGTCCAGTGACATGCTGGGAAAATGCAAAAAAAAATAATAATGTAATAAAAAATAATGTAATAATTTAATACCACATAAAGAAGACTTAGAACGCTTAGCTTATTACATTGGTGCTGAATGTAAAGGGATTCAACTTTGAATTTCTTGACGTGGAATTTTTAAAATCTTATCGTTATAGCACTTTTAGCGTCTTCATCCCAGCGACGTTTAAATTAAAATTATCTCGGATCCAACATTGCGGTCGTAATACAGGGTTATGATATCACATAACGTCGTCAAGACTATTAACTACCTATCAAGCTTTCACGTTTTTCTGCGGCCTATCGAACCGCCATGTTTTACTGCCATATATTTGATTTTTAAGAAATGCCAGAAACTAGAGATGCAGGGAGATGGGCTCACCTTCTTTATTTTCATCAAATTTGTAAGGACAACCGTCACCTTCTGCAGAAAGTGTAAAATGAAAGGTTCATTAATAATTTTACCCAAAAAACATTTGGTCGAAATGTAATATGTTAGTTCATTCCATGATTCGGTAATTTGCAATTCTATTAATGGGCATTGTTTGCTGTTCATATAGGTACAAGTTTGAGCAGCACGATATTGTTATGATTATTACTGAGGGAACTAGAGCAAATGCGTTGAGCCACACAACTCAACCGAAAGTTGGACCTTTTCCCTTAAAATATTTTAATTATAAAAAAACGCAACTAAATAGTACAGTCGAAACTCTGTTAACCTGCCACACCCTCGGGGAAGACACAAATGGTTACTTAGTAGAGGTCGGCTGCTCATGCGTACGGTACCGGCCAAACTGCGGTGTGTGTAATGTGATTGTTGCTGTCAGATGTTTTGTAAAAATAATTACATATTCGCCACTTACGAAAAGGGAGGGAATCTGGGTTGAGTTATCTTTGGCAAGACGTCTGGGTACGTCACTGGGGACGTGTCGGTCAGCTATTGGTCAATTTTTTCTCTGTCCCCAGTCCTATTCAGGACAACGTTCACGCGAACGATCATACTAAATTTACTTAGCCCAGAAGTCTTACTTGACCCCGTTTGGTACCTCTTTTTAAAGTGGCGAATAGTGGATTGACTTAAAGAGAAACATAGTTGGATAAAACCCGTATAGCTTTATCATACCATCACTTTTATCTCCACAGTCATCTTTACCATCGCATCGGTAATAATTAGGGACGCACATATGGTTGGAACACTTAAACCAAGTGCTGAAATTACACGGCTTATCGGAACCTGCAAAAGAGGATAAGGGGAAAGAAAGCTGCCACATAGAGCTACAAAAGTAGTTGACACACTTGTTTAAAACTGGTGCTTTTAACAAACATTTAATTCATTTATTATTTCATTCCTTTTAAACGCCATAAATCCCCTCACCCCCACCGAATCAATGTTGTCTGAGTAAAAAAAAAAGACTTGAGGGTCCAAAATTCAACATTGATTTTGGTGGGAAGGGGATAGGTATGTCCACCATGCAAAAAGGGGTCATTTTACGGAAGTGTCTCAACACTTTTGTCCCTCATTGTAGATTATCGACATCATCATCATCATCAACACCTCAACCATTACCACCACCACCACCACCAACATTATCATCACCATCATCATCATCATCATCATCATCGCCATCATCAGTCCTTTCCGTCCCCAGTGATTTATAGGTCACGTGAGGACGTGTACAGCCTTAGAGACATTTCAAGCTTACCCCAATTCTCTCAACTTATTTTCTTATAACGAATGAACGAGATAAAGACCTTACCCGCATTCTGGACCAACAAACAAAAACCGGAAATGAGATTATGGCTTGGGTCGGCAATTTCTTGAAATCATATTGTATTTTGTCAACCCAAGCCTCTAATTTTTGCATTTTCTCACTTGAATACCCGAAAGGTAGCCTGCGAAAACACCCGTTTCTCTTCGCTCTTCACCGCTGAGAACGTTTCGCGCGGAGGAACGTCTGCGACTCAGCGACAGAAATTCCATACTGATGACGTAAAATCTGTCCGGAATCCGGTCATAAGCGCTTATTGGTCGACGCAGTAGTTACATTGTTTTAGCTATTGTTTACGAATGACAGACAAAAGACAAAAGGCCACAAAGGTTAAATGTAAACTAGCCTGTTCCACGCGCTCGGATAGTAGAGCGCCTGGTAGAGCGCGGGAGAAAAATTCACGAAGAAAAAAAAAATGAGGGGAGACTTTCCTGGTGTATAACTTAACTCGCTCCCCACTTACCGCCGCGCTCTACTATCTGTACGCCTGGAACAGGCTAAATGTAAACGCGAAGAATCTCTAACAAAACAGTCAATATTTGTGGAACATAGTCTTCTTTAGAAGAAACATTTGAGTTTTTGCTGGAGCTCGTGGGCAGATGAACACAACACTTTACCAAAATCGACCAGAAGACACGCAAAATTGGACAAATTTATATTTAAAACCCTATGACTGCCGAATTTATTATGTAAACATTAATTTGCGTCATCAGTATGGAATTTCTGTCGCTGAGTCGCAGACGTTCCTCCGCGCGAAACGTCCCCAGCGGCGAAGAGCGAGGAGAAGGATGTTTTCGCAGGCTACCCGAAAGGTATATTCACACTTAAATAATTTATGTAGTGAAAATGCAGACTTGCTTCATATTTTTAAAAAATTGTTTTCGTTAAGTTACTTAGGTATTTACATTTTCTTGCAGAATAAAATGACGTTACAAATATTTTACTAATTTGGGATACCTGCCGACCGTGTAAGAAAGGCCTTTTTGCAAGTTCGTATGCATTGAAAAGATGTAACGTTTTGAAATTTGAATTTCCTGCCATATTGTCACTGAAGATATGGGTTAGCTGGTGAATCAGGCCTATAGTGAGGATATACTCTGTCATTGATCAGCGATTTGATGAATTAATACTTACTGTAAATAGGGCGACGGCAGTAGTAGTGATTCTAATTAATAGTTAGTGTGAGATAGAGTATTACGGCTCAACAATTAGTTAAACATGGTGTGGTATACATGTTCTATAATCCTAGCCGCACACACCCATCCAAGAAACTATGGCTGCCCTCAAAGGATCTGGGATGAGTTGTTCAGAGGCCGATTAGCACAAATCCAGGATCAATTGCTATGGTAACTCATATGCTCTGTTTGCAGTTAACTCAGCGTTAAAGCTAATTGGTCTTTGAACAACTCGGCGCGGGTGATGATTACCTTTAAGATTAGTCCCATTTCCCCCGCAGCGGTCTTCGTAGTTACACTGTCGGTTGAGCACAAAACCCACTGGCTTGCGGGAAGGAACTTCCACGGTGTGAAACACCGTGCATCGATCTGGATTCACCATTGGAGCTGCAAATCACACACAACGCAATTATTTTGCTGTTAATTCTAAAAAGAATAGTTGAGGTCGGTTTTTGTCGTTGTGTTAGCGCTTTGAACCATCAAATGTGGAGAGTAACTTTGTGAAGCTGAAAGTTGTAGGCAAGCCCTTCATATTTGACAGCCTTTAACAAGTTCAAGCGATGATAGGCACAGTTCATGATACGACTTGTTTTGAATTAAGATCCATTCTGACCGAGGTGTTTAGGTTTTGTTTCAGAGCCTGATCACAAGAAATCAGTTGAAGTTATCACAAATCACAGTGGGAGATCTAGACCTTCCGATATTCCGATAAGGCAGCGGCGGATCTAGGGGGAGGGTGCAGGGGTGCACCCCCCCCCTGAGATAGCCTGCGGTTTTCTAATACAACTGGTATTCTGCAAAAAAACAAAAAACTATGTGGTTTATTGGTGTTGAAGTAGAGCAAGAGACGAGTGCACCCCCTCCTAAAAAAAAATCCTGGATCCGCCCCTGTAAGGGGTGGGGGGAGGCGGTCATCCAGGGCGCGGTCTTAGAAAAAACTTTTTTCGGCCCTTCCGGCCTCAGTTTGGTCCAAAAATAAGGAGGGGCGGGCCCCGCCCTAGATCCGCCACTGAATCAATTCACTCAACTTTGCTTTCTTAACAAACTTATTTACGGGTTACATCAGTCATGGTCTCAGCATCTTGAAAAATTAGCCTAAATTTTCGGCTTGTAATCAATGTCAATCTGCTCCTTCCTTAAACCATCTTTGCTCCTTTATAGTTACCTCGTTTGTTTGTCACTTCTATTTTACCCTATTCAATTAAAAAGACACTGAACAATACCACACAACAACACAAAAGCGAACCAACAATGGTCTCCGCATCACTTGAGACACCCGGGAAAATGGAAGAATGGGATTTTTTTAAAAAGCAGGGAATTGGAAATGAAGTTACTGATAGGGCTAGGGTTTAAGTTAGGTTTTGTTCCCATTTTTCATTTTCCCGCTTTCCCATTCTCGTTCCCTACTCCCTGTTTCGCGTTTTAGTTTTGTCCTTGGGCAAGGGAAATAAAAGTACTACTGGACTTACGACAATTTATCTCGTCTGATTGGTCAGCGCACTCCGCATGCCCGTCACAGCGGAGCTTGTTGTCGATGCATTGTTTCCACCAGTGATGATTTTTGCATTCAAACTTGTCAGCACCACATGGTACTAGATAATAATGACAAAAATAAAATTTTCATTAAAAAAGCCCTGTTGCTGTTCAAAGTTGAACAAAGATTACTGCGACAGGATTAGCTCATTCTTTAGTGGGCTCGAGTGCTTAGAAGCAGGTCGAGAGTTCCGGATTCCCGGGGCCCGACCAATACTCAGGATCTTGAAAGTTCTAAGAAATGAAGGTACTGCCTTTGCCCGGGAAATTGCGTGGTTCGGATGAACACGTAACATAGCGGTCCTAAAATTAGTACCTTTAATTAGTACATTGAACATTTTTATGATTCTGCGAGTCATTACGCACATCTTTCATTAAATTGATGAGGAAAAATTGGTCTGGTGAAGGGTAAGCCAAACTGGCTACTTTTCGTTCTTTCAGATACAACCCCTACTAGACTGCTAACCGAGACATGTTGACATTTTTCATTTTCGTGAAGTTAGAATACTTTGCCTTTTGCTACACCAAAAAAAACCTAATAAGCATAAGAATTACAAACCGTTCTCTGTGACACAGAAGCCTCTTTTCCCGTCCCTGTCGTAATTAGGCGTAACGGAACACCATGGGGCTCCCAAATGAGTGGAATCACTTTGAGAACATTCATTGTAAATTCTTCCTTTGTAGGTGAATGGAAAAACACAGCACTCTCCGCCGCCATTGCCACCATAGGACCGAACATTGCAGCCTCCTGAAGCAAGTTAAGGTAGAGGAATGTGTATTTTTACTTTGATCATTTCCGCCTTTACAAGTCTTTGTTCAATAGTTACCAAACCTCGATCGTTGTTTCTAAACTTTATGTAGCTTTTTTTATTTTATTCCTCTTTTATTTTTTGCGGCAGAAAAAAATTAATGACAGGGTCTAATCCTATCCCTATATGCTTGGTGATGAGTCGTCTTGGGTATTAAAGTGGTACCTAAAGGTTGTCACGGCAAAATTCTCACAAATGGGTCTTTAAAGAGAGGGCACGTAACTGCAATGAATTGTGGGAACTCTGTTGTTGGCCTCTTACGCGGTGGTAGCATTATTTGAGAGTCGGTTTTTGCAACCTTAACTGTTCCCCGTTTCGAAGGGCTTTCTCGCGCCTTTTTTTTATTCTTGTACTCGTGAATTTGCCTTCGACCCAATTATCCGTGTTATCGTTGAAGAACATCCCCCGGAACTGTAAAGGTGGAAATTCAGTTGAAGGCTTCGGTACACTGGGCATTTTTTCTTGCAACTTGTCTCGCAATTTGTTGCGACACGAGTTAAAAAAAAATTGTCTGTTGCATCACAAATTCAAAATAAAGCCCAATTCACACCGAAGCTTAAACATACTTAAAAGCTGTTTAGTTAAACACGCTTTGAATTTTCTTTCCTTCATAAAAGATGCTGTGTGAAACCCTGTGTTCCAGTTTTTCATGACTGTTTTTCATTATTTAAAACCTGGTTTAGTTTAGTTAGTGTGAATGGGGCATAAGATCTACCTAAGTAGGGTTTTGTGAGCCCGCAAGACTGAGCAACACCCACGCACCCTTGTTTGCACTAAAAGCGCTGGACACAAAGCTTCCCCTGGGTGGATGTTACATTGTCCCAACCGAAATAAAGATGTCGCCCAACGTCGTTATCGTGATTGTCGAAAAGCTGGCTTGCCTCGTGCAACTTCAGTTGTCTCGACAACAGCACAACAAAATTGCGAAGAAAATTACACTGGAAAGTTTGCCAAGTTCAACGTCGGGCCTTAAAATTCCCTTTGATAATCAACCACTAAGAATACGAATAAGCAAACATTTATTTGTTAATACTCACCTGAATCGTAATAAGCTCGAAAACCTCTGAATTCATCTCCACGAAACGATTTGAATACCACCAACATCCTATTTCCACTGGATTGTACCCCCATGGGGATTTCACGTCCACAGAATTTGCCTAGGGAGGGGCTGGTAGTGTTGAGTCCATCAAATACCCGTACGTACGCATGCTCGCAGGTGCTACTGTTGTGTAACTCAAAGTCTGTGAAATTTAGCGTGATTTGATTGGCCGAGGCAACGGTGATTTTCCAGGTACATGTGACGTTGGGTTTATAGTTGCGAGGAAAGTTGGAAGAAGAAATTACTCCTGCTACTTGTGTACGTATGCCGCCACAACTATAACCTGCAAGGAATAGAGTTAGACTTATTTTACAATTAATTGTTCGGATCTTCTCGATAATCCGAATCGTTCCCACAATATTGATACAAACGAGACGATCGTATGGAAATACCGTCACGATCGGGTAGATATAGAAATCCGTCCGGATGATTTGGGCGATCGTGCGATCGTGAAAGATCATTAAAAGCGATTTTATCAAAACTGAACCGTCAGTCAGTCTATTTCATGCAGTATGGACGCAGCCGCGCTAACAGGCGATCAAGGCGATTATATGGAAACCAGCGAAAAGAACTACCTAGAGACGCAAAAGAAAAAAGGACATACTAATTTTTTTGTAAATTCAGTTCCTATAATTTTTCAATTGTAGGTGCTATCTATTATTGTTTTTAAGCAGAAAAATTTATAACTTTGCAGTGAAACACTTGAACGTGGCTCTCAACTTACTGTTTCTTAAGCAACGATACTTGGTACTTCTGTCCTTTTCTGGCGTTTCCGGGAAACACCAGGGTGACGACCATTGCTCCTTCCAGTCTTTGTCAGGGACATCCGCTGTGCAAGCCGTGTAAGTTCGGTTGTACAAAAACGGAAGCCTGCAGCACTTTTGTTTTTCCGTCACAAAAGGACACGACTCTGGCGATTGAAAAAGAAGTATCCTTGTATAAATCAAAAGCCTAACGGAATTTCATCCGTGCATTGACTTGAAAATGGAAAGTTTTTTTGGCTGTAATAAGTGCCTCTCATGCAAAAAGTTGATGCACCCTGGACTGGTATTATTTTCCTTGGCGAGGACAATACATATCCCCATAATACCTGTGATGAAAATCACTAGTGAGCCCCTTCGAGACGACAAGTTAACAAGTTTTCCTTGCTTGACAGGGTTAAAAAAGAATTGTCAAGTTTCCCTATTTGCATAACAAAGAAAAAAACAAATTCTTTTTTTTTGTTCTTTTTTTTTGCTTGGAATTTCTTCTCGCTCTTTTTTTTATGAAAACGAGCGATTTCCTTGGACGGAATTAGAAACTTAAAGAAAAGCAGAAGAATATCTGCTGCTTAGAGAAACTTGCGGGTGAGGAGGCATAAAGTCATCTTATGTAGATTACTACCAATCCTCGAGCATCATATTTTTATAACTGCATTTTACAACGAAGATCTTCGGCTCAAAAATTCATAGCTATTTCTTGGCCATAAAGTAACTGTTCAGACTAGTGCTGGGAAGACGATACGTTCCGTTTTAAGACATGTATGGTCAAATCTTCATGCCCTTCATCTTTGACTTTTCAATAATTTATAACATCAAGACCCGTAGGACGAAAAGTCGCATATTTATCAGCTTAATTGGATTGAGAGGATTAGATAAATCATACCTTTTAACCTACAGTCTCGATGTTATAAAATATTCTTCTTGGTCGCCTTAATCTAACCAGATCTCATTTACTGGCATTTTGGCGAGTTGTTTTATTTTATTTTTGGGATATTTTACACACAGGTTATCGTAAGATGTAAAAGCAAAATACGACAAGACCGCGAACAATTTCGTTGACTGCCGCTCAGTGAAGAGATTTAAATGTATTTAATTTGCGATTCCTGTGGGTAAATATCCCCGAAAAAGCTTGTGGAATGGAATAAAAAATAAATAAAATTTGCAATGATTTTTAATTTTCTACCAGACATGCATACAAAGCAAGTTTTATTGTTTCGGAATAGTGTTAAAATGAGTTTATGTTGTTTTGATACCGTTTCAAATGAAAAACAGTATTTGCAGCCAGTGAAACCATTTGCATTTAAATTGAGATAAATTGACGTCAAACCATTGAAATGCGAGGAAAATATCATTAAAATGAATAAATTTTTTACGAAAAAAAGGTTAAATAACGAGATTAAAATTTACTTAGAATTAAGCTATTTGCTCGCTTGAAGACCTACATAGAATTGAACTGCTGCTAAATATTTGTTAGCAAACACACCAACGTCGGATATCTCAAGGAAGATAAATAGTATTTATAACACTCTGCCACTCCTCATACTTGAAGGATATAAAACACCAAGTAGTCTAAACAGTTTTTCAGTATTCATTGACGGCTATGGAATATTTAATCATACAATATTAACACCAGGGGTGCCCGGGTTGAAAATTGTGTGCTTTCATAACGGAACGGAAGTATTTTCGCCTTAAAAAGTTTCCGCTTAAAACCCTAATATGAGATAGATAAATCATCGTCAATGTTTTCATGGGTAAAATGTTTGATATCGACAAGCCTTCGAGTAGTTAGGGAATATGGTTCCAACACCTGTTCATATCGACATGCACCTTTAACAGACGAACTAATAGCAAAATATTTTACTTTCTGGAAAGTCAACATTTAAATAACCAGGAAAAGTACTTACGCTTCTCCGTCCACGTGCGTGCGATCCATAAGGAGGCCAGTACAAGTTTAATCAGAGGCCGTAACCTTATCATCATCCTCAGAAATAGTGTCCTAGAAATCAGAAGCGGTGAATTTAATGGCGAAAAAAAAACATCTGGTTCGGTTCTCTTAGCAATGAAATGAATATTTATGTACAAATTTTATCACATAAGAGCGAAGGAGGCGGATTTAAATAGGTTAATATTTGGTAGCAGCAGAGTTGAAAAATACTTTTAAGTATTTGTCTGTAACGACCTTTCACTCTCACGGCCTAACAGCCCATCTCTAAAATGATTTTCTATACTCCCTGCTGTATGTTGACAGATCAAAGGACTTATCTCTTTTAAAAAGAAATGAAGTTTAATTAACCTTTTTACGGCACAAAAAAATCGTATGTGAGTAGGATAAATGCCATGGAATTCCCCGGGAGTATTTTTTTCTTTGTCAAATTAAATCACTTTACTGATTGAAATTTTGCGTCGAGGGCGGCTGTTTCACGCTGGTGTTAGACTTCTATTAAAAATATTGGCCCGATAAACGAACATTTTGTTTCTATAAAATACCTAAATGGATATTATTTCGATAACAGTGGTATGAATCATACTGTGGTTTATTGAACTCGTATGATGTCTATCAACTTAAACCGCCACTTTGAATTGAGCACAAATGCCGGCCAACAGGGATAAAAAGGTTAAAGAATGCATTAACGAAAATTTACTTTGCCCGCCATCTTGGGGTCATTTGCATAAACAATTAGAAAGGAAAAAATATATTTCACACATATTTCACTTACGAGGAAAAAACCTATAAATTTGTTTTGTTATACTTTTTTTTGTAGTATTTTAAATGTGGTTCAGGTGATTGTTTTAACGAAAATAAAGTCGTGGTTAAATCGTAGAAAACGAATGTATTTTACACAAGGAGGAATTTGTAATAGTTAGAACGTGAAAAACGATATTCAGTAAGGTCTTACCTCTTGGGAGAAAATTCCTGTTTCTTAATCTCTCTTCTGGTACTTCCAAATTTTTAACTTTATTTTGATCCTTGAAATTTCCGGGATGTGAGCAGTTTTTATACCATAAGAAAATACGAAGAACACGTCCTCCCAACAATATATCCGGGATTTCCAAACAGGTAACATGAACTTTTGAATCAAGTGACCGCGTCAAATTCACGACGCCATTTAATAAATTCTGCGTAGAAAATACCACGTTTGACTGTTTAATGAAAACCCGTCAGCAAACTTTTATTAATACTGATTAGTGTTAAATTTTTTTATTACGTATTTTGGGGTTGTTTTACATTTTACGTTAAAACAATATTTTAATTAATCCGGTACGTATTCGAACAAGTTTGAGCCTTTAAAAGATGTTTTCAGACCTCAGAAAACCCGGTGAGAGAGAGAGTAAGAAGAAGCTAAGGTAAAAGGCACTCAGACCCTTATTCTGCCATTCTACCATGATATATAACTTTCTAAAACTATAATACCTTAAACTTTTTGTTGTGTTACCTTATATACCTTACCAGACAAGAATGTATCAACGATTTCGCAGTCTTACTTCCAACCTTTGTATTGTATCGAGCAAAAAATTGGTGAAACAATAAAACAATAAATGTAATGAGAAAATTTTATACAGTAGAAACACCAGCCGAATAAAATTGTGTGCAGTGATAGTTCTGTGAAAGCATTTCAACAGCGTGGTTGAATGGGCAATTATTTTTAATTAATAATTGCCAGGAAATCGTTAATGATTAAAAGCAGGTTTTTGAAGCAGTGACAAGAAACAGGAAAGGCTTTAAAAGTTTGGTGAGGCAGCGGATTAAAATTGACAATGTAGGTGATTTTTTTAATGTCGAAACTCTGAATCAATGCTTCTTCCAGCCTTTGAGGAAGAATCTCATTTTAGGTCCGCAGAATTCGAATGATTTCTAGTGAAAGTAAGCAAACGGTAGATATACGAAAAGTGACTGCTAAGAAAAAACCATAGATCATATATCAATCATAGAATTGCCAAAACAAGTAGCCTATATGGAAACACATTGAGCCTTATCTAATTGAGCAAAGTGTCTTGTTAACAAATCCATGTCCAAAATCGTCCACAAAAAACATCGAGAGCTGTTGTTCCAACACCTGTTCAGCAAAGGAAGCGTAGTTCTAAAGTGGCGAAAAGTAGTGAAAACAGAGTGTTTTATCGAGGTAATCGTTAAATCAACCCTCCGTTTAAGACAACATTTGGTGTCTCATGCGGCAAAGGCAGTTAAATTGTCAAGTGTATTATTATTTGTCTCCCGCTGGGTATAAATCGCCAGCTTTCATCCGGGGATCCCAGTAGTCCACTGGACAGGCGTCACCACACGCAGTTCGATGGTGGACTCAGATCGGTGACGATTCATCGAGGATATTGAGCTGCATGTTCCCTTATTCTAGGTCTGCTTCCGCGGGTGTTTCTAACATGGTTGACTGTGGACCTAATCGCCTCCAGTTGTTAACACCTAGGGAGTTTACGCAACGACGACGACTACGGCAACAAGAACGTCAAAAAAGCAATAGGTTTAGACAAGCAAAACAACAACTTTGCACGTGCATCACGCTTTTTTGTACATTTCTCTGCCTTCGTTGCACGACTGCAACGTGAAACGGCCTAAAAATTTTGTCTAGGACGGAAACAAAAGACAGCAACTTTCTTTTTCTTTTCCTGAACTTTGATGCAGTCCTTTAGAATTCAACTCCAAAAAAAATTGGCAAAATTTGACGAATGAAACGAGATGGAATAAGCGCGATAAAGTTTGAGGCAGCGCAAATTCACTTTTTAAGTGACGTTTTCTTAGCCGTCGCCGTCGTCGTTGCGTGAACTCCGTACTATCAACTGAAATCAGGAGAAGCTATGTTATCAAAGAAGCCTAAGTATATGTTGCGAGTCGGTGTGAACTCCACTCCCCAGGAATAATTCAAGAACTAATTGAAAAGAGAAAGTTTCTCGTGGGTGCTAGAATTAACAGTTTCTTTGCTTATTTACATGTATTAAAACTTTCCAAAGCCTTTAATGGATCAAACAAAATGTACTAACAATGTTTCTAAGGGTTTTACCTCAAAGGAACGGAAACAAGTAACCTTGAATATCATGCATATATAGACGTTTATTCTATCTACATAAATCAGTATATAAAGGATTGACTGAAAAATGATTCTTTTCTGTGGAAAGCGCTCTTGTTGAAATCAAGTAAAGCTTTTCCTTAAACATTCGATGAAGAAACGATTTCAAGT